TTTCCCATATAGTGCTGGCAGCTAAAGACAGATTGCAGAATATGGTTGCAAGAGCAAAAGTAAGGGTTTCGGCTGAAAATTTTTCTAAATAGGCATGCATTTTATGTACAGATTAAATAAAAAAGAAATAAGTTAAAAATATATTTATAGGAGTCAGGTTCATGGATTTTTTTTTTTCTTTATTCTTTGGTACATTTGTTGGTGTGTTTGATTCCATACTTATGTACATTGGGGCGGGGGAAATAAAATCAACCAAACAAAACCAAAACAACCAAAAACCCTTCCAAATTGTCGAAGCTTCTTAGCATGCAAATGGAAGAGCACATCTGAATTTTTCAGCTATTGTGAACGGTGGTTCCTGCCCCCAGGTCAGAGGGAAGCTTGCTAGCGGTCCACAGACATCAGGTGCTTGCCTGGTGCTATTCCATTATTTTATCTGGGGAGTAAAGGGAGAAAGAGCCTTTGCCTAGACACATCCCTGCTGTCCCTCAGTGCTCATGGCAGCTGCTCTTGTTCCTACCTGGTGCTGTCCCACCGTGGTGGGTAGGAGAGCTGGTTTGCTGGGTCTGCACAGGATGAAAGGTTGACTGAAGAGGTGGGATGTTCTCTGTGGAGCAGTGGTCCTTACCAGGTGATGGCGAGGCTTCTGTCTGCTAGGCAGACAGGCTTTGTCTATGTTACTGTGTGTGTGTGTATATATATATTTATGCATAACTGCAAATAACATCCATGTTCTCTATTTTTTTTTCTTGGATTTGACCATCTAATATCCTAATGTAATGAAGTGCTATAAAGTCCCTTTGTTTATGAGGCTATGATATGTTCAAGAATACACGTGATTTGTAGTATATGATACTTGGAAGTTCTAGAAAAGATTTCCTAGTATAATTTTGGGATTGTTGTCATGAAGGAGAAAGCCATGCTGATCAAAAATTGTCAAATACAAACCAGAAGAGCTCGTTATCTCAAAAATATTAAACGCTAACTTTTGTATCCATCACCTGTGAAGTCAGGTGTGCTCCTCTTACGGTTTCTAAAGTTCAAAATTGATTTTAAGTTATATGAAATGCTTTTTCTGTGCATAAAACTGTTAAATTTTGAAGTATAGTATGTAAAGATCTAGAAGCAGAGAAAGATGCCCCATCCAGTGCCATTAGGAAGCTGAAATCTTTCCATAAGCTGTTGAGCATGCCACTTCCAGCCATGCAGGAGAGTATCATGTTGGATCTGGCAGCTGTCACAAGGAGAAATGGTATGTGTCTTCTGGGTTTGGCCATAATAATTTGGGAGGGAAATGCCAGATTAGCAGGGAAAGAAGAAACATTTCCTTCTGTAAACAATCTTACAAGAAGATTACAATTTCTTTGAAGCTACTTACAAATGCTGGTATTAGGATTCTGGAAGAGTAAGTCCAGACAAGATGGATTTGTGGAAGAAATAGGTGATGGGCGTGAAAGATGCATGATTAACAATTTTGTTCAGTTCATTTTCTCAAGTGTTGTGTATATTCTGTTTTTGAAACCTAAGGTATATATGTTTGCCATTTTGAGTGGATGCTTTCTATTATTTACAGTTGTGTATAATTATACACAGACTCTGACAAATATAGCAGTGCTGTGGAGTCTATTTTTAGGGTCAGACATTTGTGATTATGATCTAATGTGCCAACACTTAGCCAAGCTATGAGCAAAAAAATCTTAGAGGGAAACAATGCTATCGACCTCGTGCATAGCCTGGTACCAAAGACGGATCGTCTGTACCAGGACAGGGCGTTCTGCTGTTTTCTTCCCCTCTGTCCACTTAGTTTCCTCTGTTCTAGACAGACAGGATGAGTTGGTGAGGTAGAGCACACAGTTGCTGGACTGGAACAAATTGTTTGTTTTCCACTGTTTGTAATCATGCATGACTTATTATGCTTCTTTCTTTTCTTTTCTTTTCTTTTTTTTTTTTAACTGGGATTTTCCATTTATACTCCACTGAGAATCAGTGTTGTTTGCTATTGCAAAGGCTGCCTTCCGGGTTAAGTTTCTGCTCTGATTAGGGTAGTCCTAGGGACCAGTCATGTATCCCTTTATTAGAAATAGGTAGCCTGTGCCTGTGCAAACAGTCCCGCTGGCAGGCTAACTACGTCTGTGTCCTTCCTCCCCTTCCTGCTGGAATAAACCAGTGAAAACCTACTGTTGATATTAATTTATCCTTAAGAATGAAGTAGCATTTGAAAAGGAGCGAGCGAAGCTGAAACAAATGCTGTGCTCGGAGTCAGTTTACAGCAATGACATACACTCAACCCAAAACATTCCCATGCTAAAGATACCCAACAGCTAAGCTGAGATGCTCGGCGTTTGCTGAGGTACTACGCCTGAATCTTCAGTTTATCTGCGTTACAACCTCTGTCGTGATAAACTTGGGTTTGCTGTAGCGTTTCACCTCCTTTGCCCTCTGCGTTGCTTCTAGCAGCATGTTTTGCACCCTACCCTGCGTTTCCTTACACTAAATACATCTTCCAGTGTCTCAAGACAGGGATGGGTTTTTCTGCCTCTGGCAAGCCATGGGCTGTATCCTTCTACTGCTAATAAGACTCCCCCCCTGCCCCCCGCCTTAGAGGTCAATCTGAAGTGCAGGAAAGAATTATTATGATAACAGGAGGAAACAGGAAGAATCATGCTTTCTTTTTCAATCTGCTTTTTATTATTGTTTTAATGTAAAACATTGTTTCAATTAAATGCTGACCTGTGCAGTGGCGTGTGTGTGCACATGCTGAAATGAATTCAGGCTTTGTTTGGAAAGCTGTGACCTCTTTATTCCTGTTCTGGATCAAGGCTGTTGTATTTCAAACCCACTGCTGAGGACTGAAATTTCACTCATACTCCTAGTAGCACTGGCAGTAATGATCCTTAAGAGTGGTATTCTCCTTGGGCATTTATATGTGCTGTTCCCTCTCAATTTTCAAAATAAACTTGTTTCTTTTTAAGAATTCCTCATGTTACGGAAAAAAAAGATAACCATGACATGATTAAAATGCATCAAATGGGCACTGGGCTAAACTGGTACCTGATGGAGCAGATATGTATAGAAATGAGGAGCAGAGATTTTTATCAGTTACTTGCTTTCTCTATGACTTAATTTCATACTCTCTTATTTATTCTTCCATTTTTTTAAAGTGAGAGTGCCATGTGAATTGACTTCACCAAAAAGAAAATGTAGGACTCGACCCCCGTACCTGCTCCCACCCTCCCCAGATTGTTAGCTGCAACGACACTAGAATAAGATGTCGTATTTGTTTCTTACTTGGACGTAACTTTAAATCTGGTGGCGTGAATCTATGTTGTCTTGAGTTTTTGTTTGCTTAAAATGAACTGTTTTAGAGGAAGGAAGAAGGGGGGGAGGAATAACATGAAAATTGTCTGGGTTGTTAAAATGAGTCTGTTACATTTTATACTTGTCCTCTGGTGACCAGATTTTCATTTTTCTCCTTGGCCTCATGGAATGTTTTTATTTATATATCTTATTAGTTCTAGATGTTCTGTGCAAGGGGAAACCTGAATTACAAACTTTTTTTTCTTCCATTATTGTATTAAGAGCCTGGGTATTGAATGCAGGTGCTCAGACTCTGCTGTAATTGGCAGTTTATGGAGAGACACCAGCTGTACTGCTTCACAGGGGAGATATAATATCTCTTCACACGTTGTATATATTGTAGGAAATGCAGAATTCCTGTCATTGTCAGAAACTTTGCATGTCCGCATCTACCAGTGCCTCTGTAGAAAAAAGACAACAATCCACTGAAAGTTAAAACCATGTCTATTTTCAGAAATGGCTTATCCCTTTTATTGTCCTTTCATGTAGCACTAATTGATGTTTTGTTTGGTTAAATATAGAAAAGATTTAACAAATGTTTGTCTTTTTATGGTCATGCAAGGCGAACTGGTGTACTAACTGCTTCATATTTTTTTTTTGTAAGACAAGACAGGTTATACTACATATCTGCATGTGTGTGGATGTGTGTATACAAGATTATACTCATCGTGTAATAATATACCAAATCACATATTTAACAGTTTCAGTTCGCAGAACAGGGTTGGAAGGAGAAGCAATAGAACTCCAAATTATATTAGACCTTAAAAGACATAATTATACAGTGGGAAAACCATGATGCTTCTGGGCATTTTGCACAACGGGGGCCATAGTTGCTCTCTCTGGGGAATGCCTGGGAGCTGCAGATAGTACGGCTTGGTCCTGTCCGCGGAGTATTGATATATTGATATGTGAGTGGGTGGGACTTCTGCGGCTCTTGAAGGATTGAATTATAGGGGGAAGCTAGGAGTTAGCATCGAAATCTATAGGTGTTGTATGTGAGTGATCTGGCCAAACAAAGGAGAAGGTAAAAGCTATGCCTGCATTTGAAAAGTGTGATCGCTGAGGGGAACAAAGAGCTATTGAGTGTGTTGCAGGGAACATTTGTTGCATATCAAGAAAAATACAGGTATCTGGCATCTTCCTAGATAGCAAAATAAGGTTCCAATGAAAGTAAAAGAAATCTCAGTTTGTTTTTAAGAGCAGCTTGAAAAACACAGTCCTAATAATAGAGGAACGGACAAGGTTGCAGATGTCTTATGTGAGCTGATTTAACGTTTGTCTTGAATATTCATTATCCCTCTTCCTCTGCGGTTTAGAAATGTGTTCGGATCGATGTATGGACATTTGGAGGTTTTGCCATGTTAGCTTCATCTCTGGGAACACGGGGGCGAGTTTTTTTTCATTCTGTCTTTTTGGAACAGATTTGTTTTATGTTCTGTCTGTGGTCATTAAATCCCCTTTTTCTTGTTCTCTCATCGGAAGTGTCTTGAATGTTCTTTGACCTAGTTAAGGCCTGGCGTTGGGACATGCTTTTGAACATCATTTCCTTTCCAGTACTGCTGTGTGTTTGCGTGTTGTACACTTTACGTTTGTGAGAACCAGGAGGAAGTCTACATATGGCCATGCTTTTTTGTCTTTAATAGGTTTGTACGCATTGCGGAGAGCGCTGGGGAAAAGACCTAACTTATTAGACAACGAGGTGGCTGGGTCAGTGAAGATTGCTTTCAATGACTTCCTGCAGGGGATGAATGATGTCAGGCCCAGCGCCATGAGGGAGGTGGCAGTTGATGTGCCAAAAGTAAGTTATTTTTTTGCAATACGCTAGCAACATTGTTAGAGCCGCATTAAGAGTTCAGTTGCAGTTAGGTGTTGAAATGCCCTACCAAAAGAGAGGAATTTTGTGAAGTGGAAGCCTCAAGTTGCCAATAAATGTTGTGCATAATCTTTTGTTTGCATATTTGTTTATTTAATTATAATTTCGAAGACCCATTTACAGAAGCTTAAGTTCCTACTACTTTAGGAAGAGTTGGTAGTGCAGGAGCGTATCTCCTGATCTGTAGTTTGATATGCTGAGTGGGTTAATGGAGTAAAAATCTTAAGGTGTCTGCTCAAAGCAGATCCTGAATAGCGTGAAAGCTGGAGCCTTTTGTAAAGCGGACACAAAGTTAAGCAGAAACCAACTGTTAGCATTTGTAACCAACGTGTATTGAAACGAAGCCGTGAAGAGATTGATTGTTGTGATTTTATGTAAAGCAGTTGACTAATTCTACATGCAGTTCATATTGCTGTGATCTGGATGTCTTCAATGGCATTACATGGTTTTAACTGAGGGCAGAATTAGATACTGTAGGTAGGTTATCACTGCCAAGCGGTTACCCATCAGGGGCTGTCATTATATGAACAGTTCTCTTGGCGGTGCCAGGTTCATCTTTACCCTGCTCACTGCCCTCTCAGTTACGTATTATAGTAGTTCAGTAGCAGACACAACATAAATTGGGCTGGGGAACTGATCTGGCTTAAGAAGATTCAACAAAAGAAAATGTATTTAATCTTACTAAATCTTGACTCTGCGAGCCGTTGTGCTGGTGTTTCTCAGCAGCTCCCCAAGCCCTAGAAGAAAACATTTATGTCTCATTGCATGAAGATGAATCATCTGGGAATTAGATTGCACAACTGTAGACCCTTATTCCCAAACTATAGGAATGGGAAATAAAATCTGCGAACAGGATGCTGCATACAGCCAGCTCGGATATCACACTTGGCTTGTTAAGAGTCCACGCTGTGCAGTGAAGTGCTGGGTGGAAATGCCTGGGCTGGCCCCAGACAGCTTTTCCTGGAAATGGTGTAGTGGCATCAATATCCGCACAGGCTAATTAGTTCTGCTGAGAACCAGAGTTACTAATTCTCTTGTTGCTTATTGTGCTGCTGGCTCTTGGGCTCATGTCACTATCACTGTGCTGTGCCTTTTAGACATACCAGCCCATTTGGAGCCAGATGGAGTGTTGCTAAGGAGCACAGTGAAGACAGGTAGAAGCAAGGTACTGCAGGAAATCTGTTCTGAATCCAAGTCAACCTACTGCTTGAGGTCCTGTTGTCCACTAAACCACTCTGCCAGTGGCTTCCTTGATTGTCACTTGTTTTCATTTGTTAAACACCAGCTGAGTCACTGGAATGCTACTGAAATTCATTCCTTTATTGAAGGGAAGATAACATAGCGCAGATTCCTTTTGTGCTGAGAGGACCTGCATTTTTACAAAATAATGCATATTCTCTGAAGATGTAGGGTAAATTTCAGGCCTTCTGCTTGGTGCCTGGGTTGACTTTAAAGTGGAATCTAAAGTACCGGATGCAACAGATTTTGTGTCCTCCCACATCACCTGCCAGAGGAGGTGCTGGAATTCAGTTTAACCGTTATTTTGGGCTGCAGAGCTACCAGCTTACCAAAACAAAGGTACCTGTGCCTGCTCGGAAGCAGTCTGAATATCTGGAAATACTGACACAGCTGTCCGTGAAAGTCACAGTAGTGTAAATCCAGCATTGTAACACCACCACCACCCTCAAGGCTAATTACTCCATTACCATTTGTATTTGAGGTGTGGAAGTGCCCTAAGTCAGGTCAAGTCCATGGGTTAGTTGAAGGAACTTGGTGTGCTGTGGCTACATGGCAGGGGTGGCAGTGCAGGGGAAACAAGCAACAGGAAGCCAAACTGCAGCCCCTTGGTCAGGGCTGCTTGCTGGGGGTTTGGGATGTGATGCAGGAACACTTGCAAACATCTGAAACTCATTCAGGTACTTTAGCATAGTGTAGCTATTTTAAAAAAATGTGACCACTGCGTGGTTTATAGACATGCACAAGCAAAAATAAATTAAAAAAAAAATATTTATTGTTGTAATTAAACTTAGGTTAGTGTAATTTGCTCTTATTGGCAAATAAGTATGTCTTATTCTCACCTGGTTGTTAGTATCTGAGTGCCAGTCACTTAGCATTTAATGTACTGTTATCCAGAGAATTTACATGGTTGATTTGTTGTCTGGAACACAGATTGTAGCAGAAAATGTAATACAGCTTCTAATTCCTTAGATACCTTTTTTAGGAGGAGTGTGCAACATTTTATGTTGCATGCTTCTAGTAATGATTTTTAGGTATGTCTTAATCTGATCTTACAGACTAGTTTTTGCTTCTCTGATGACAGTTGTGTGTTTAACTGCTGTGGTTAAAGCTGTGTCTTTGATTGTGCTAACATTGGCAATTAATTGGATGCTGAAGTACTTGGTTTCAGTAGAAACCAGGTGTCTAAGAAGTCAAATGAATGCAACTGCAGAGCCACTAATGAGTTGCACCATCTTGTGCCGATGATGCTGTGTCCTAGAATGCTTTGCTGTTTAATAGTTATGCTTGAATGTCTACTCCTGCAACACTTGTGGGGAAACCTTAAAATTACTGGCTTGTCACAGAACTGATGCTAGTAGTCCTAATTTCTGTAAGTTCTTCCTCTTTACTAATTTACCCCTCTTTTCAATACAGTGCTTTCAGTCCATGGACTTGGGCCACTTACCCATTCAACACTTTACTTAGCTGACTTGGCCATTGTGTACTGTGATAAGTTACTTATGTGCTCTGCAGTAATTTATACCAACAGAAACTGCCTTACTTACACTTTTTGTTGCACTCTTATCAAAATGAAAAAATTATAGCTGGGCGTGCGGGAAACAAAAAAGGAAGCATGGACCAGATAGGAGTCCAGCTTTCTTCAAGAAACCTAGAAATGTGGTTTGGTTTTGTTTTTCCTGGCTAATGTGTCTTTGTGCATAATATTTTGTGAAATCATCCTGTACTGATTAATCTCCAGATACTTTCTGTCTGTAAGGATAGGCTTTTCTTCCCCTGCTCTCCTTGCCCCAGAAGCTATCCAGCTAAACTGTTAATTGCATGGGTAAATTTGTTAGAAAATCAGGGGTTACATTCCTTCATGTTTTGAAGTCTGACCTTAACACTGTTTGTCATGTAAAAAACTCTTGCTAAAAATAACTTCAAACACTAAATAAATGATTAGCTATGAGATTTTTTCCAAAGAGAAGACAGAAGTCTGAGCTACATTAATAATATCAGCTTTTTTGCTGTTTATTGCAGATATATTATTCCCTTGGCAGCCCCCTTGGTGTGGATGGAACTTTTGGGCTATGCAGTTAGTTGCAAGTAAAACTACTGATGTACATGCTGCATTAAACTGAGACTTTTGTGATTTTTAACTTTCTATTTTTCAGATGGTGGGGTTTTGCTTTTCATACTTCACTGCTTTGCACTAGCCATGTGTCAATTGAATGAGAAGAGTTCAAAGTAACTTCTAAATAAAGCCACAAGTAAATGGATTTTGCCAAAGTGCTCCTTCTCTTATAGTCACAACACCTTTGCCATTTACGGGCTGTTGGTTTTTTTGAAGCTGGTGTTGCCTCTGATACTGAATGAAAATAATTACTTGTTTTATTATGAACTGCAGATTGTTTTGTCAACACAGAGCTTGTTCTCTGAAATCTGTGGAACTCTGAGTAGGCTGTAAAGAAAATTTAGTTTTCAAATCAGTCTTTGGTTTTTAGGTCCTAGAATTGAGTACTAGCTTCTTGGCTGTTTAGAAGGCTACTAGGCTAAATTGCTCTGTTGCAGTCTTTTGTCTTATTTAAAACCTGGAAAAACCTCTCTTTATACATATACCTGGGGTAGTAGCTAAATAACAAGGAAATATATTAGAATTTACTTGTTTGGGCGGCATTGAGCGTGTCACTTTACTTCTTGGTGGCTGAGGATATGTGATAACCTTTATAGAATGCTTTGCAATCTGCTTCTGAAAAGTGCTCTATGACAAGCTAGTTATTAGGGTTTTTGTCATTAAGCTCTTGAGCTCTTTTCTTATTCCAAGCATATTAAAAATTACTGGTGGGGAAAACAGCCAAAATGAAGTGAGTTTGGGGCAGTAGACAGAAAGTGAGGTTGTGTGCAGGAGGAGCTGTTGGCGGTGGAGGTGCCACCATGCGCTGCTTTTGCGTGTGTGTTCCTCGTGTCTGCATTCTTTTGTCCTTCCACTTGTGTCTGGATTGCTGTGCGTGTTGGCTGTGACCAAGGCAAATGCAAACTACTTGCTTGCCCGGTTCCACGTAGCATCTTGTTTTCTGTTTTAACAGAACCTTTCTTGAACTTTGCTATGTGTTACAACCTTTTTAGAAGGCTGCTTTTTCTGCAGCAGGGATTTAGGAGAGAGGGGATGCACGTTATAAATCAGGAAGTTAATACTTCAGCTCTTTGGAGAGTTGCACTGTAGTTGCCATTCCTCCCTCTCCTATGGGTCTTTCTGAAATTTTTGTAGAGTGCTATGGGTTTTGCTTGCCTGTTTCACTCCCTTTACTGTAATTCAACACTCAGATTTGTGTCTTTGCAGCCAAAAGGTTCTGGATGAGACATCCTTTGCATGTCTGCTTTATTTCTTTATTGCTGCTGCTTAACAACCTCTGGGGAGTTGCTGCTCTGCATCGTATTCTGAGCTCTGTTGACCTGGGGAGAGCTAAAGATTACGGCAGTAATGAAATTGTGGTGTCTTACATACTGTAGCAGAGGTCTCTTGTATGTGTAAGCTCAGCCCCAAGGCTAGTCTTTAAACCATTTCCACGGTGACAGAGTATCACACTTCATTGCTTATGTTGCAATACCTTTCTTTCCTTTCAGTTCTGTGCAGGTAAAGGAAGTGTAGCTAGGTGTCCGAATGTGTGCACTACAATTTGTGTTAATTGCAGTCGGGAAGTTACTGAAGGTTTGTGTGCAAAAACAATCCAGCTAGTTCTTCCAAGCTTACATGAATCTAAAAGAATTCTTACTGTGTGATGGTGGACTGTTTTTTCTGGCCCGCCCCCCCCATGTCTATCCTTTTGAAATGAGGATTAAAAAAATGCTTTGTTTAGGACTTGATCAGAATGTGAAGGTAGTGTTTTATTAGCTATTTTTGCATCTAATACTATTGCTACTTGAATTCCACACCTTCTATTGTAGGAATTCTAAATAAGTTAACTGAATTTTTGACTGGTTAATTATTTTCTTTTTTAACTCGTAACGGGCAAGCTCACATTTAGTGGCCCTGTTTGTATGTCCTGACCCAGTTGTCTCCCTTCCCTTCCTTTCCCAATTTTAAATGTAAGCAAAATCAGAGTAAGTCTCCAGATCACTGAAAACAACCTTCATGTAAGGTGGCCCTACTTCACCTTTTCTGTACAATTCTATCATTTGTGTTGATGTTAAATGACATGTAGTGGGTCTGAAAAATGATTTGAATAATGCCTCAGAAGACTGGTGCAATGGTCTGAATATTTGCAAGAGGGTAAAAATATAATCTAGGTGTCTTTTTCCTGGCTTTTTGTATGTGTGTAAAGGACCGCGAATGGATTTTGCCTACTGTTGCTGAAAGTTACAGGGAATTCCTCATGGCTTAATTAATTTTAAGATATTCTTGTTCATGTTAGTCAAAGTCTTCATCTAGTTAGAAAGACATAGAAGTGACTAGTGCATGCTTTTTCAGATATAAGTAAGGATTGATACTGAAAAACGCGAACGAGCTTGTGTTATCTGTCATCTTCCCTAAGAAACAGTTGTTTAAAAGTGGCAAGATAAGTTCAGTGCAGTTTACAGAGCTTCTAGGTTGAATTAAGGCTTGTAGGGGTAGGTAATACGTATTTTTTTTAAATTAAATGTAACGCACTGACACTGTTTCGGATCTGATGTAGAAACACCAGCTTTTAGAATAACGGAAGATTGGGATTAACTGTCCTGCATTTAATTATGTTATTCAACCATGAAATTGGAGTGAAAAGGGGTGGTTTGCGTGCGTGGAACAGTGGCAAGATACAAGTGAGGTATCTGACACGCGTCTTCACTTTTTATAAACTTGTATGTTTGCTTCATTGTAATTAAAAATCTGCAGGTGTATTTCTGTCTCTTATTGTGAAAACTCAGGCAGGAAGGGAGGATTCTTCTTACCTTTTAAGCACTTAACTGAGGTGCCTAAACTGGGCATCTCCTTGCCATGTGTTCCCTCTAAAGGAAAGAGAGAGAAAGTAGGTGTGAGGCCACCTGTCTGACTTATGAAAGAAAGTTTGTACTGTAGCTGAATCGCTCTGTGAAGTCTGTCTCTTTTGACTGTCTTGGTAGCCCAACATACGCAGCTTAAAGTCAGGTGGTAGGAATTCATGCTCGTTTCCCTCTTCCTTTCCACAGTTCACACAAACACTTTTATTTCAAGACTGGAGACTTGTGCACAGCCCATTTTCATCTCTTTGCTACCATTCCTTTAATCGGACTTGTGCAGTTAGTCTTGCTTGTAGCACAAAGCAGCACTTCAGAAGGGAATATTGGCAGGTTGCAAAAGCTGTCTTACAAGTTACCAGAAATGTCATGCTGCTTTGGTAATGCCCTTGCTAAAATCCTTTCCTCCCCCTGCTACTGGGATACTCTGCTGTGTTTGATTCAGTGTTCACTTTGCTCTGACCTTTACTGAATTTGCATTTCTTCTCTGCTTTTCTTTTTTTCTTTTTTCCATAAGAAAATCCTACCTTTGGCAGATCCCTCTGCCCTCAGATCCTTCTTAGTAGGCAGTGGTGGTCAGTTCTACATATTTCATACTTCCCCAGGCTTATAAAGTAATTATTTAAGAACCAGAAGCTGATGAAAGCTAAGAAAAAGAGTTTGGTTCTCCCCACTCCTAGTCCCTGTAACGTATTCCTGGTGTGAGAGAGATGATGTTCTGCAGGCAGCAGATTGGCAGCTCTTCACCTTCCAGTTAGCCTTTAAACTCAGAATATTTCTGAGGGGTTGACCCATGTGTATTGAGCTTTGGTGTTTGCTCTCCACTGTCTTTGTAAGTTTTTTTTTTTTTTATGTCAAAGACTGACAATCGAGAAGTTCTATTTGGTTTGCAGTTTGCTTGGATTTACACAAAAGTGCTTGCACCACATCCAAATGCTCTTTTTCTTCCACTTCAGGAGCTGACTGAATTGCCTCTTTCAGGGAGTTTCTACTTCTAGTTTCCACTTGGTGTACTGGTATCAGGAAAATGGCAACAGGGACAAGGCAGGAGTGATGCCAGTTTTGAAGTCAGGAGACAGGCGATACATGGCCTCTTAGTATATACTCTGCTTGCCTTTCAAGTGAAGCTGAATTTCCAGAGCTGAAGGGTGATTTATGTGTAGTAAATTTTTGGAAGAGTGTTTTAAGGCAGAAGATCATTTAATTTAGGTGTGTCTTGACGTATTTAATATTTGAAGTGGATGGGAATGGATGGTGACAGGACAAAGAACAGGCCGGGGGGTGTGGGGAAAAGTCTCAGGCTTGTTGACAGCGACCTGTCTGCTGGTTTGGGTAGGACGTATTAGTTCTGTCCCGATGTATGCCTGACAAGCTTGTCTTGTGTCTTCAGCAGAGCAAATTTAACTGCAGTTGGGTTTGAGTGTTGCTTTTTTGTGTGTTTTCTTTTCTGTAGCTGCTTGTCTGTTTGGAGTATTGTTTGTTTTTAAGCTTCTAGTCAAATCTCCGGTGCCCAAGTCCCATATGGGAGGGATAGTGTTGGCAAGTGGAGGAACCCCCAAAACTTCTAACACTCAGACCTCTTCAGCTTAGTGGGATTATACAGCTGGGATCACGGCCTTCCTCTGCAGCTATAAATAAAACCAGCTTGAGCTCATACAGTCCTTTCCTTCAGGGAAGACATCAAAGTAATTTACAAATTCTGCATCAGCATCACATTAAAAGAGAACTGAGTTGTGACTTTGCTAGTGATCATGCAAAGTGTTGCTGCCTGTAGGATCGTGCTGTCATTTTATTGTTATTTTTCTGTATTTTGTTATTGACCTTTGAAGCAGATACAAAATATTTTACCTACATCCACCAGTAGAAAGTGAGTCTAATCTCATTTACTTTGTGTGACTTTATTAATAATTGCTTCTTGTTTAAAAATGGCTTTTTGAGGAAGTGACTCTTAAAAACAACTTCATGAAATAACCAGTACGTATTCTACAGAGCATTTTTGGTTTGTTTTCTTTTTTTTAATAGCCTTTCTCCATTGTCTGAATTCAGCAAAATTGTCTGCATTGCAGGTATCTTGGTCAGACATAGGAGGACTAGAAGATGTCAAGCTGAAATTGAAGCAGGCAGTTGAATGGCCTCTCAAACATCCCGACTCCTTCACCCGAATGGGGATTCAGCCTCCAAAAGGTGTGCTGCTTTACGGACCTCCTGGGTGCTCAAAAACAATGATAGCAAAAGCTTTGGCTCACGAGAGTGGTCTCAACTTCTTGGCAGTGAAGGTAGGCTATTAGTCTTAACATTGTCTTAACTCCTTCTTAACAATTGATAGTTTACCAGTTTCCAGTGCTAGAAGCCAGTGGCTCTTAGTGTTTCTAATTGTTATATATGCTACAGCAAACACCTTGTAAATGTCAAGTAAGGTTTGTGTTTTCTTATGAAAAGGACTAGTGCTTTCTTGTTATGCTTTTTAAAAGTTTATTATTTATTTTATCACAGCACAGAAATGATATGTTGGACGGGTGGGTAAGCTGTGTAGTGGCATCTTAATTATTGGCATTATTTAAAATATTTTTAAAAGTGGAAACAATGAAATTCTCAAAGCAGTATAATGAAATGCAACTCTGGATAGTGGGTAGCTCTTCTTACTTAATTGTAACAATTACTTGCATGAAAATATTATCATATCATCTCTTACATTCCTTTCCATTCCTCAGGAAAGTCACTTTCTGTATCTTACTGTTCATGTTTCGTTACAGATTTTTCTTGCCCTGTTTGCCTTTTTTCAGGGGAAGTAGTTCTACTTCATCAGTTTTTAGAAAGTTTGCAAAATCAGTTCTATCTGGAGTACTCTTGGATAAGTGGGGTATTCTCTCAGCATTAAGAAACTAGTATAGAAAAATTTCGGATTTTGTTGCCTATGAATCAGTGTAATTGATTACTGGGTGTTGTATGGAAAACACATGAATGGAAGTTATTTAATAATAATACTGAGCTTCAACACATAGGAAGAAAAAAAAGATAGCAGAGTGATTCCACATGGGGTAATCTTGCAGCTGTGTCAGAATGTTAATGAAGTGCAAGACAAAACATTTGTTTAAGTATTTTTAAAGTATCTCCTCAGCAGTAAGATCACGTACTCTTGTCTGTTGACCATCTCTTTACTCACAAAGCCTTCTGTGTTGTTAGTTTCTACACAGCTTCCTCCTCTGCCTGTCCTTTCAGACGCACTGTAACTAGCTCTGGATGCTGTCCTCTCTGGGAGCAGAGGCAGTCCTCTGACCCTGAAGGCAGCAGCCCTTCATTGCTGGTTCTTCCTGGTATTGCAGACAGGCCTCTGGGTCACGGTCACATCAACAAGAGCAGCCTTGGAAACCTCAGCCCTTAAGAAACACTACCTTTAGTGCCTTTTCCATAAAGACAAAGTAGTTCTTTGTACTCCAGAGTCACTGGTAAACAAGGTAACCTTTTCCTCCTGCACTGCTTAAAAGAAAACATTCCTCTTTGTCTTGCCCAAAGCCCTGACGCCTGAGAGGGTAGGGGAAAAAAGGTAGCAGTCTGAAAAAAAACCAGTTAAAAATGAATGTTTTCACTATTCTGTATTCATCGGTCATAGCTACATCAGACATTTTTACTGATGCAGTTAATTGACCAAAAGTCAAAGGTGGCTCATGCTGAATAGGAGGTATCCAAAGGTGCACCGATATGAAATGCTTTTGTACAGTAATGTAGCGTTTCTTCATGGTGGAGTTCTGAAGGTGCAAACCCCCCTGTCATTGACAAGCTGCAGCAGAAGTGGCTGGCTTGGGGAGGCTGCCTTTTATTCCCTGTTGGTTTAAATCCCTTGGCCTGAAACTGGTCGAATATTCAATGTACAGATGTTTCAAGAAGCACGTCTCTGGAGCATGTCCAGCCTTGGATATGTTGACTCCAGGAAGGGGAACATAGCCCACTTTCTCTAACTTCACATTTGCTTCCTGGACAGAAAAGGCAACATCCATCATGTTCTAAATGTGTTAAACATCATTGTCTGTAGCACTTCTTAAAGCGCAACAGGCATGAATTAATTTCCACTGCATGTGTTCCTGCAATAAATCTAAAGTAGATGAATATGTGGGTTTTTGTTTTGGGTTTGTTTTTTTTCTTTTTGAGAGGGGATTTTTCTTTCCTTGGTTATAGTCCTATTAATTTTCCCATTCTCTACGTTATGTCTCAAATATCTGTCCCTGGAACTGATATCAGGCTTTTTGAAATGGAAATGTGTTTCTTGATAATTTACTTTTCAGACTTGCATTTTCCTTCCAGTCTCTCCTGCCTCAAATAAGTACTTTTGATGAAAACTGTCTGCTGTACAGCCTGTAGGATACGTGTACTCTTTCAGGATAGTGCAGGTGGCTCAGGTTCTTGGGTCCTTCTCGAGAATGGACTGCAGACAGGAGGCATAGCTCTAGCTGTGGGAGCCTGCTGCTGGATGCCGTCTCTCCCCGTGTCTGAAACTTGAGAGGACATCGAGTACGTTACATGCAGTGCTTACTTGGTCCAGTGATTTTTGGAAGATGGACCTGTTATGTCTGCACGCTACATTTAAGATACATGGGCACAGTAAGTCCAACGCTCTCAAGAAGTGCTGAACGTACTCTACTTGTCTAAGTTGGCTCTCCTGCCTGGGTGCAACAGGTATCACTCCTGCCCCAGCCTTAGCTCCAGGAAGGCTTTGCACTGTTTTCCAGATGTGTCTATGCAGTTTGGACAGCTGACTGTTAAATGAGGTACTTAGCTGGGTTATATGTCATCTGTTCAAATGTGACATTGCCATGTGTCTTGGGCACGGCTGGTTGTCATAATGCTGTATGAGGCATGGTCAAACCGGCGCAGCCTCCGGCCCATGTCTGACTTGCCTCTAATAAGGTTTGGAAGATGGGCAAAGTGTAGATGTAATTTCTGGGCAGAGGAGCTGAAGAAAATAACGTGATAACAGATGCTTGACGTCACATCCTGTTCTCTCCTGAAATCTATTGTGAAGTTTGAATGGTTCGTGTTACAATGAATGTGGCCCTTTTGTAAATATGCTCTTTGATACTTGGCCAAAACTTTTTATAGCTGTATTTTCACCAAGATTGGTGACCTTTTGCTTTTCCAGTGAAAAGCAGTTGTTGGTTGGTCGGTTTGTTTTACAAAGCAATCTTGCATATAATTCCTAAGGGGACTTGTTTATTTTTATTCCTTTTCTTGACTTTCTTTGTCTTTAATACAATATATCTGCTAAATTTACTGGGGAGGAGGTTGTCAACTACTTTCCAGGGGATGGCTCTTCCTGCTCCCTCCCACCACCCCTTTTTCTAAATCTCTTGCAGCATTGAGGCTTTTCAGGGTTTCAGTGGTCATCTTGATTATTCCCCCCTCCCAAACGTGTTACAAAAAGACAACTGAATTGTTCTCAACTTCTTGGAGAGTTTTCAGTGTTTTGTGGTCATGAATACAGGCGAGCGTAAGACTGTGTGAAGGAATGAATTAGGATAATTTTTTCATTCTTCAGGACTGAACATCAGTTTTATCAATAGTTTTTGAGCTGGTTGTATTCTTATTTCAGTCAGCCTTCTATGCACTTTTATACTTCTTCATGCTTCTTTTGTGCTCACTTCAAAGACTGTAATTTTCTTCTGAAATGCATTTCTTTTACTAATAAGAAAATTGCATACAGATATCGGACCTATCAATATTAATAGGATGGGGGATATAATTTTCAACTTCTGCCAGGCTGATGACACCTCTCTGTTACATACAACTGTCTCTGTGACATTTTTGCTTTAGATGTCATCTAGCTTTCTGAAATTGAACGTGAAAATGAAACCCTTTGTCACTGTGTTATTTCTGTGGGCTTCCCCCCCCCCCTCTTTTGACTGTTTATGTAGTGGGTATCTCTCTGTACTGTTTTGACAGTTCCTGCACTTAGGGTCAGCTTTGACTGACTGCCCTTTTGAGAGATATGTTTAGACCACTAAGTTTTTATGGTGATATTGTAAGAATATTTTTGGAGGAAACTTCCATATCTTGCTGTATGGCATAGATAATTATATCTGCATTTGTCTTGCATCTTCGTTTATTTAGACTTGTTATGACTGCCCTCTTGGATTTTTTTTTTTAATTTATTTTTGTGAAATCCTGTATCATTGTGTTGTGCTAAGAATCTAATGGATATTACTTTTCTTCATGGATTTTTGTTGCTTTTCTGGAAAGCAACTTGCAGAGAATCTCTCTGGATTTTTTTTCTGTCATTATTGTGGTATGTAGGTAATTACTACCAAATAAGAAAACCATTGTGCTTTTTTGGTTTTAGCCTATTTCAGAATGAACACTGAAGTTCACTCTTATGTTGTCAGGCTGGAAGGCACCATCATGGTACCTACCTGGATAAACTCCATCACCCAGTTACAATGCGTTCCTTGGCTGATGGTCCCATAAGGGCCATGGGGACTGGAAAATCCTTTTGCCCCTTGAGCTGCCCAGAAGCCCAGGATGCTGCATACTAGAGGGGATGTATGTTGCTGATGGTATCCCGTATTGCATTACCTTCTACTTACTCAGCCTACTAAAACCAGAGGGACTTTTTCTGCGAATTTCAGCAGGCTTCTGCTCAGGGTTATAGTAATAGGGGACTTTCAGTTCTGTTTTCTGTTCAATAAGCAGATTACCTGAGTTTACAAAATAAATAACGAGAAAAATTATCTAACTTCTAGATGCTTGTAATGGTTTTGGAAGCATCCTTTTCCTTTTGTTGCTTAGTGCTTTTTAATATTTGTCTTTTTAAAATCAAAACTAAGGCAAAAACTCACTTAGTGATAGTGACAAAAAACAGCTTAAATTTTCAGAAAATTTAGATCTCCAAAAGTTAAACCCCTTGGAATTCAGCTAAGTCAGACACACTAATTGTTGTAAACCCGATAAAGCAATATGTAAAAAAAAAAAAAAAAAAACACCAAACCCAAAACAACCCAAAAAAACCAAAACCAAAACAAAACCCCCAAAACCAAAACAACAAAATCCAAAACCACCCATGATGGTAAGTAGTGTTTAAGCACGCCAACACCGAGCAAAGCAATGGTACAGATGATGTGTACTCTACTGCTCTGAAATACTATTTGCATTGGTTAGGAGCTCCAACTATGGTGGGGGAAAAAAAAAAGGTTAGAAAATATTCCAGACATTTTATCTGCTGTTATTTAAGAGCTTGGGCTGAAGGAATCTTTTCTTTTTTCAATTAGCAGTAATTACAAAAATATAC